ATTTTTGTAGTGATTTTATAACATGTTTATGTTATAATTTTCGAATAAACTATATATATATATATATATATATATATATATATATATATATATATTATTCTTCTTATTATTAATATAAGATATTATAACAAAAACATGTTGAAATCGCTAAACAATAGCTTTCGTGTTTCGGCACTACGTTGTGCCTCTTCAGTCGAATCTAAGTGACTGGAGATTAAATAATTTTGAAGAAAATTTCAAAACAAAGTGTTACAGAAAGGTAACACTTTCTGAAATTTTCTTAAAAATTATTTAATCAGCATACGAAAAAAAAATAAATAAATAAACGAACAAGATATTAATATTGAAACAAAAATTCAACTGCCTTCTTGTGTCCCAGACATATTAGTTGTCTTTTTCTGATTCTAAGTTAAGTCCTGCAAAATACCGCTTTTTAGAACTTCCCACTTTCTGTATTTACTTTTTCTCTTCTTACATTTTCGTAGTAAAATATAATTTGTGGAGTCTAAAAGTTTGAGTTATTGGTATCTGACATAAATTACAGCTCAAGTTTAAAACGGAGGAATTAGTAAAAAAAAAAAAAAATGTACTTGCAAAGGATATTAATCTCCATAGCTTTGAGTAAAGGCGAATAGTCTCGTTCAAATAGACTGAACTCGAAATATTCGATATAGTCATATATCAAAGTATATTTGATCTATATTTCTTAAAATATTTCAACATAATGATATGATCGTCTCATTTTTCCTCCATTTTGTTTATTTAGTCTATGAAATATGCCAGCACCCGTGCACTTTTTTTTTTCAATGATAGAATCGACCGATGTCTATTTTGGTGTAACGTTAAACCGTTAGCTACAGGACGTTTTGAATTACGTGTAAATGTTCGCGATTTCTTTTTGGAAAGCTAATCGCCTGATAACCGACCGGAGAATGACTCTTTTAACCGTCCGCCTTACGATATAGTTCCAAGGCTGAGGTTATGAAAAGAAAAACAAAACTTGATATAAAAGCGGGCTGGCTGGGGCTGGGAATAAAAAAAAATGAATATATAAAACTAAACATGAGATAATGTAAAAAATAAAAAAAATGGTTCGAATTACCAGGTATATTATTATCTTATTGGAATTTAAGAGAAAAAATATTTCTGGGCTTAATCAGGTGAGGAAATAGTCCGGGCTATGTAGAGAAAGTAATCAATGACGTCATTGACTAGGCTCTAAAAACGAAAAAAAAAGGTTAAACTCCAGCAATTTCCGATTCAGTTAGACAAAAAACGAATTATCGCGATAAAACTATCATGGATGTAATATTCAATAACAATAGGTGTTAGTAGATTTATATTAATTGTTCGACACAACTGACTCTACATATAATTTCACTATTAAGTTCAGTTAGTTTCTTACTTTCTTTCTTTCTTTCTTTTTTTCTTACTTTCTTTCTTTCTTTCTTTCTTTGACCGTTCATATCTCACATAGTTGCATAATATTTCTTTCTTTCTTGGATTCATGAATTTATTTAAAGGCTTTATATTGACTATTGTTAAAATGTCATATTTTAGAATTATGTGTTACTAGAGAGAGCCAGGCTATGATCAATGATGGAATGAAAGGGTTAAAATAAAGTAGCAATATTAAAGGAATTGCAATCAAGCTATGATGCATTACTATAGAGGATCTAAGGGAAAATAAAGGCTTTATATTGACTATTGTTAAAATGTCATATTTTAGCCTTATGTGCCACTAGGGAGAGCCAGGCTATGATCAATGATGGAATGAAAAGGGTTAAAAAGAAAGTAGCTATATTAAAGGAATTGCAATCAAGCTATGATGCATTACTATAGAGGATCTAAGGGAAAATAAAGGCTTTATATTGATTATTGTTAAAATGTCATATTTTAGCCTTATGTGCCACTAGGGAGAGCCAGGCTATGATCAATGATGGAATGAAAAGGGTTAAAAGAAAGTAGCTATATTAAAGGAATTGCAATCAAGCTATGATGCATTACTATAGAGGATCTAAGGAAAATAAAAAACTTATATTGACTATTGTTAAAATGTCATATTTTAGCCTTATGTGCCACTAGGAGAGCCAGGCTATGATCAATGATGGAATGAAAAGGGTTAAAAGAAAGTAGCTATATTAAAGGAATTGCAATCAAGCTATGATGCATTACTATAGAGGATCTAAGGGAAAATAAAGGCTTTATATTGATTATTGTTAAAATGTCATATTTTAGCCTTATGTGCCACTAGGGAGAGCCAGGCTATGATCAATGATGGAATGAAAAGGGTTAAAAAGAAAGTAGCAATATTAAAGGAATTGCAATCAAGCTATGATGCATTACTATAGAGGATCTAAGGGAAAATAAAGGCTTTATATTGACTATTGTTAAAATGTCATATTTTAGCCTTATGTGCCACTAAGGGAGAGCCAGGCTATGATCAATGATGGAATGAAAAGGGTTAAAAGAAAGTAGCAATATTAAAGGAATTGCAATC